CAGGGTCAAAGGCATTCGCACTTAAGAAAGTTAAGAGGTTTTTGACGGAGGTACTTAGATAGTATGGGAGTTGGTTGTAGCCCGCGATAACCCAGACGCGGAATATAAATATCGAGGTACCCCCAGCTATCAGAAACATCAAGCAATGGAGAAGAGATCTTATTAATATATTTATTACCTTACTCTTGAGAAAAACTATTATTACACATATCCTTTATAAAATACTTCGGGAAATACGAGCCTACCTTAACGATCTTCGTTTTATCCTACTTTACCTTATTTCAAGAAGCTTACGGCCTAGACCTACCGGCCCTATCTACGGTTGGCCTACCCCATAACAGGAGAGCAGACCACTATGCTGACAAGGGCACTGGGTACACAGTGTGTTGCAGTGATTGCAAAGCTTTTATCAGGTATAGAGGTTTACTTTAGAACTCTTCTGTTGCTCCCAATACCTACAGTATTTCCTGCTCTCTGGTTAGATATTGATTCAAATAAAGGGAACAGTGATGGACACAACCATACCTGAGCAGAAGATTTGGACAATGCTTAAGCATAAATTGTGCTCAAGCACACCTAAACTTTATGCTTGAGCATGATCATATCCATCACTAAAAAGGGGAACTTGTAAACTTTCAATCCTAACTGAGCATACTTTGAGCATGAGTTCCTCCACATCAGTGACTGGGCCCATGGCCTATGCAGTTTATAATTGATCCATCAAAAGAATGCAATCCTCTCCTACTCAAATTGACAAGTTATTGGGAGTTGAGAGGAGAACAATCTCTGCAAGATTCAATCATGGTAATCTGAATATAAAAGTAGGAACAACAGGTCCTTCACATTGATAGATACTAGTGAAGATACTACAGGTATCCTGTGTATCTAATTGATGGAAGACCCTGGTAATGTAACTGGAGATCTTGGTTACATCAAACTTGCTCATTTGAGGAAGAGGCATGATTGCAGGTCCATTCATGCCACTTTCCACTGGTATTATAGCCTTGATTGTTTTTGGTTGATCCAAGGTTTGCTTAATTTGATCCATAACAAGCCTGTGGTCCCTGTTTTACTCTCACTTAATTAGTGTCCACCCTAATCCAATTTGTAGGAGATTTTGGAAAGTGGGTATCCTATGCAGCCTATACATACCATAAGGTCTTTATGACCTTTAGCATGATACTACCCAGGTTCATGGCTGGGGGGCAGGTATAAGGAGGGGTATTCTCTGATTTGCAAGAAGAGTGAGCCACAATGAATATGAAACCAGAATGTGATAGACAACTGTCTGAAATTTACCTTCAATGACCGCGGAAAAAGGGGAAAAGATTGTGCTAGAAAGAGAGAAAAGGGAGTATTGGATTCCGAATGAATGTAACAGCAGAGGGTGAGGCAATGGTATAGAAATGCAATCAGATTCAGGCCAAAGTGGTGGAATGTGTGGCTCTTGGCATTTGTGACTGTACAACCATCATGGGCCCACAACTGCGATGCTGTGGGAACTGCGTAGCAGTGTAATGGTTAATATACGGAGGTACAGCCCATAAGTTTTGTATTTTACTAGTAGGGGGTGTTGCACTAGCAGGGGTTGAGAGGGTGAATTAGGTATAGTGGCTTTACTTTTACCAAGAGCCTCCTAGCCACCATACCCAATTCACTGCCCTTACTCCTGCTAGTGGGACACCCCCTGCTAGTAAAATATACAAAACTTACGGGCTGTACCTCCGTACGCACCCAACACTCCGCCAGCCACTGTAGATTAGCGCACGGATTAGGTAAGCGCCACTCCAAAGGGGAGCAAGGATATACACCACTTTGTGGTTAAATACCCCCACTTTAATACCACGTCCTACTTAGAGCTCAGCATAAGCGTATACAACAAATTTGTGCACTACGGTACTCACAACTCGGCCAATAAGCTAATAAAGTTATTAGCATTAATCGAGATCGCATCATAAGGATTGTAATTATTGTTAGTTATCAAAAATAACCGAACACCCCCTGGTAGCAGCGGGAAATACTTTCATCATATATCAGGACACCATGGTAGAAGTTTTTCCTTCCGCAAAAACTCGCACATTCTTTTTACCCTCACCCCCATAAGGACTTATATGTCTGGGCTCTAACTCATTGTACCTTATTGTGGCATACAGGGAGGAACATAAAGATAATCCGAGAAATTGACTCAAACACCAAAAACAACTATCCTCAGAGTCTCATAGCTCATCACTCCCCCTATAAAATGCTTAAAAGGATCCCCCCTACTACCGGTATCAAAATTAGGGCAACAACTCTTTTTAATGACCGGAAATAACTTTATCAAGCACTGAGATGGTGATTTGAGATTTTTCACGCTACGGCATTATACTAGACTATAAACCAAGTAGGTCGAGTGGGGGTGCGAAGAGAGATATAAATTTGGCTTGAGGGACGGTGGCTTAGTGTATGGGGGAATGTGGGGTTTGGGGAAGGAGGGTGAACATGACGGTCAAAGGGAGCCTGCCTAAAGAGTGCTCTATTTTTACTTCTTAACTCCCCGTTTTCCTACAAATTGTAGTATGTTTTATGGTATGTCCTGGAATGCTACACTCTTGTATTTTTCTATACCTTGCCGATCTCATTTACCCTTTTCACAGACTGTTCGGAAACAACTGCAGAACTCAAAAGAGAAATAATGACGATTCATTCCTATGATCCAAAACTATCACAAACCCCAGCTAATTCTGATTCAACGCCAACGGCGTAGGCCTGCTAACCGGCGCATCCCCCAACATCCTCAACCCATCCCCCCGCTCACTCATGGGATCTACAGCTCCACCCATGCCAGCTCCTCCACCATCACTAGCACCCCCAGCCCCGGTATGTCCCGTAACCCTGTTAACCCCTCCAGCCCCCAACCCACCTCCACCAACACCCACCCCCTCCGGCTCATCTCCGGGCCCAACCTGGGGCGAAATCTCCTTCTTAACACCATCCCCCACAACACCTCCTTTGTACACCTCCTCACCATCACTCCCCGGATTCGCAGTCTCGTATTCGAGGATTTTTATGAATTTGTAGAATGCGCTGGCTAGGAGGGCGCCGAGAACCGGTCCGACCCAATATATCCAGTGGTAGCCGTGGAAGTGGTGGGATGCTACGGCCGGGCCAAAAGAGCGGGCGGGGTTGACGCTCCCGCCGGTGTAGAAGACGCCGAAGATTTCGGCGATGAATAGGGCAAGACCGATACCGATTGGGGCTATGAACGTAGCTCGGTGTTTCTGAGAGGTGAATGAGATACACAGAAGAATGGGGGGTAACAGGGGGTAGTGACCTCTACTGCAAGCATGAAAATCGTGAACACCAATATCGTCGTACAAAACATCTCAATAAACACCCCTCTCGCAATGCTAACCCCCGCTGTAAATCCCCACACACCCAATCAGCACTCACACACTTCAGCCATAACCCCCTCCCTCCCCCACCCATTCAACAAATCAGCAAAAAAAAAAACTTACCATTAAGCGAAGTATTAAACGTAATCTCCCCGGGCGTCAACGCATCAATAACCGCGGCAGCAACAATACCTCCCAAAATCTGCGAAACAAGTATACAAACCCCCCTCGTCGCCGTCGCCGCACCAACAAGCACCATACCAAGCGTAACCGCAGGATTAAACAATCCTCCAGAAACGCGGAAGAACACCCATGCATTCACAGCCAGCGACGCGCCGAATGATGAGGCGATGAAGAATAGCGCGGGCAAGTTCGGCTCCGGTTTGCTCTTTGTAGTTGTGCCGTTTGCGACATTGGCTGTGTTGGCGATTTGTGTGCCGCCGAAGGCGAAGAAGAGGAACAGGACTGTGCCGACGAATTCGCCGAGCTAGGAGGTGGTTATTTGTCAATTTGAGATACGATGGAGAGGGCGAGGGCAAAGTATCATACAGATGCTACGACGTCTACAGAATGTCAGTCTGGAGCAGGGATGAGGTTTGGAGAAGAAAACACACTCACGATTCTTCGTATCAACACTCATCCACCCATTGAACGGGACTCTCTCAGCATTATCTGACCCGTGGCGGAATAATGGTAGGATGTCCTTCATTTTGGGAATGTCGATGTCGGGGATGGATGGATGGATTATGATTGTGTCACGAATGGAAAAAGTATGGAAGGAAGTACCTGGCTATAAGTTAACCACGGATTTCAGTGTGGCGAGGAGGTGGTCACGATTACGAGTGGTTTTGGGCTGCTATTCCTCGCTCTACATACAGTATCGAAGCTCCTGCCGCGGGGTGGGTGTCGACATCATGAAGGGTTGTGGTGTGGTTTACTACTGGGGGATGCTAAGGTTGGGAAGCCTGTTTTTTTTTTGATATGGTAGTTTACTGGCTAATGAAGGTGCGAGTGAGAGATAGTGATGTTGTCGAATGTTCGTATAAACAAGATGTGAAGAGAGCCAGAGCCACACCTGCGCCATGTGCTGTACAGAGCATCAAACAGAAAAAAAAAACCCAGCATAACTTAAGACACCAGGGGCACCTTCAATAACATACTTTTAAATATCATTCCACCTACTCTCGAATCCACCTCCCTCACCCCATATCCTGCCCCTTCATTCTCACCCTCAGTCAAGACTTCATATAGATTCAAGACACGAGAGGCAGCGAACTAGTAAAAACTTTTGCCCTAGCACTGATAGATAATGCCTACCAAGTTTCCAGCCAATCATTTCATTTCCTCTCCCCCCAGGCAGCCATTTCCTATTAATAGTTATCTCGATTAACACTTTTCCTTTTCCTCTCCCTCTTTATTACTTCCTCACCTCCTCCAGTGCCAGATTCCAAAACCAGAAAGAAAAAAAAAACCACAGCCGGTACTCATTCTTCCCTACTTGCGGCGCAAACTAAGTTATGGTGCAACGGGCCTTGAATTTTGGCATGATTTTTCCTTGATCAGCACCAATACTCATTCTTTCCTACTCCAATAAAAAAAGGAAAAAAAAAGGCAGAAGAAACCAAACGTCAAGAACAGGATTCGAACCTGCGCGCCCGAAGGCATCCGCTGACTAATTCCTGTTTGTGGCATGGAATTTAGCAGGCGAACGTGTTAACCACTCCACCATCTTGACATGCTCCTCTATAGCTTAAAAACAATAATAAAGCTAGTTGCAAAGGTAGAGGTGGAATGTAGGGTGGTCTTGGCGGAGGGGTTGTGGAAGCCTGGAAGGGCGAGAAAGGGGGGGTTGGTTGAGGATAAGTAAGCGAGTGTTGGTGCTTCTGGGGATGTACTCGGTAAGAGTTGTCGCGAGGATTGCCGTTGAGATGTTTACGGTACGGTAGATTGTGCTCGAGTCGCCGGATTGAAAATTCTCCATCTTGGCGGTGACGCACCACACAAAAAAAACACTTATCTTGAGTACGGAGATTTGGGTAAGTTACGGTAGTGGTGGTTTGCATGATGAGGGGACACGGTAGTCGGGTGAGGTGTGAGTATTTAATTTTGTATGATAGATATATTATAGGCTTTAGCCCCCTGGAAATTGCTATGTAGGACAGCCGGAGACAAATTTTTTCCCGATCGCTCGGGGAAGCTATTCTTGGGCATTAGATTGGATGTCACCACTTACTTACCGTACTTTAAAGGCTTCAGTGTGGCAAAGAAATTGAGCTCATGTTTACAGTAACCAATTACCTACCGTAGCACTTCTTCTCATTCGAGCAAATTGAAAGCATCACAGTTCAAGAAAGAAAAAATACAAATTTCAGAATTTATCTCATCATCTAATACTTCTAAGCATCCCCATCACCAGAACCATTCTAGCATTCCACATCCCAGTCAAAGGTAAGAAGAAACAAACGTAAAACCGAGTGACAATCTATGAACCGAAAGCATACCCATGAAACAAAGAGCACAAGAAATAACGCCGGTACAAATTCCAATCACCGAATCAAAGAAAAAGAGAGAGAAAAGAGAGAAAAAGAAAATAAACTAGCATAAATTAAACCCTCCACCCAACCAATTTATCACACCTATTAACCCCAATAGCCCATCATCATTGCCATCAAAACAGATCAACTCCTCTCCAACAGTTGCGTCCACATTTCGCTGTAGCCTTGCTCTCCGCTGGCATACTCATTCATGAGCTCCTGATTTTCCGACTCAATGTCTTTGGCAGCAGTGCGCCTTCGTGGCTTTACGATCTTATCATACGCCCCGCGCAGTCTCCACTCATCGCCGTATACGGGCCCATGTAGGGTGAACAGCTCGACCAGCTCTTCTTTGCGTCCTTCAACGGGGTAGAAGTAGTCTGAGTCTGGTGCTGTGGGAACGTAGACGTAGACACCTTCATCTTCATAGTCATTGTCGTGATCGCGGACACCGTCATCATCATCATCATCATCATCATTCTCACCATCACTAGAAATAGCAGGACAAGGGATTGGAGTTTGTGGGGGTGTGGGAATGCCTCCGCTAATTCTACCCCTGTCTGGGTCCGAGTTCCTACCCCGGTTCTGAGAACGCTCGCCCTGCGCTACCGAATGAATACTAGTGCTATCCCGATGTAAGCGAATATCACTCCCTCTATTTTTCCTTCGGGAAGTTTCGCTGAAGGTTATCCAAGATTGTGCCTCACTGTGGATGCTTTCCGGTGGTGTTAGCGGGGACGTTGTATGCGAGGAAGTCGATGACGTTCCCTTTGATAAAATAGGAGACGCGGACTTGGAGGGCCCAGGTGACGGTGTAAGCGGAGACACGGGACGGGACGAAGGGTGAGGGTTGGAGGGTGAGAAGTAGTTTGGTGTATTTAGGCGTGGGGCATTTTTTCTGGAGAGCGGGGGTGGGGAGGTTTCCGTGCGGAAGGACTGGTAGTGGTTTTTTTTGTGACGGTTGGGCTTGTGGGTTTTCAACCACTCTATTAGTGGCATTTTGGAAGTGTGGGGAGAGGAGTTAGGGGTAAGATGGTGGAAGGAACAAATGAATGAACAAGTGAATGAATGAACATATGGCTAGGGCTGGGGGGCAATAGAGTGAGTGAGTGGAGTGAAATCAAAAGAGTGTGGAAATGAAAGTAGGGTGTTGGGGGAGGGTTTTTGCGTTGTGTAAAAGTAGGTTCTGGGAATAGGTGTTCGATCCATCGTAGAACGTGGTAAGGACAAGTTGAGCGGGTTTCGTTCACGTGACTTACTCCAAAAAAAAATTAGTGGAAATCATTCTTCCATCCTAACGGCGGAAACTGGAGTCATGACAATTTGACTCTTTAGGGGCTCTTTAGCTTCAGATCTTGAGGCTTTTTTTTATTTTTTTATTTTCTAAATTCACTCCGAGCTGATGATGTCTAAAAGTGTCTAAAAGTAAGGTTGTTTGGATTATGTATGATTGGGCTTCGCCCAATCATATAGTTTGCCTCCTCTTTAGATCCCTTCCTGCAGCCATATTTAGTGGGTTAGGGTTAATGTAATAGTAAAAGGTGTCTAGAAAAAAATGTGAAATCCACTATCATGAATAATCACTCACATTACGTGTGGATTTATTCTGCATTTTGTAACTCAAGGTATCATTTCGAATTATATTTCCTCAGGATATAAATTATCAAACTCCCTATCCTATGGTTGATTTACTTATCGATCACTTCCAGTATATTCAATCGCCTATCATTGAACGTGTTATCAATTCTATGGTTTGTTGGTGGGAGGTTTGACTGCTCTCTTGCCCTACTTCTGGATTAGGTTAGTTTTATTCTTATAGGTGACCGTGATATGGGGTCCTCTCCCACAAGATCTTTTAAAACTGACAATCTGGCTTTTGAAGCCTTTCCTGAGCTTAACCCCTTCGAAATTTCCCCGCTTATCTCAGCGGTAAGAAACAAATTTTACGGAGGCCACTTTTCACGGCACAGCATAATCTTTCATTTACAATTCAATTTTCTCGAGGCTTCTAACAAAGTAGCGATGTGCTGAAGAATTACTTTCTCCTTGTTAATAAACAGTTTGCAGGTTGGCCATCCTCGCTGTCGGCAATTGGAATTTATCTTGGAAAGAGGTTTACTCCCAAACCTCCCCAACATGCCTCTGGCTATTTGCGAACTGGAGAAATGTTTGGGATAACGTAAGTTTGGTTTACGCTTGATACTTGTGTGACTTGAGCATATGACCCAATATCTTGTCGAAAGGCCAAGCTTCTACCACATCGAAATTTTTAGAAGAATCAACCCCCTTTATTTTGCTTTCCCTCGCTTTTCTACAACACTACCCAAATTTACTCGTTTGCATAAGTTAATCTCATTAGCTAGATGTCCACTGGACGCCGGATTCAATATCCGAGTGATTATGTATGATGGACCTCCGGTTTCGAGGTTCAACACCGGTGAGAAAAATCCAGTTCGCTGACCTTTGAATTTTCCAATTATAACCAGGCGTTCCTAGCGCAGATACGCAGTTCATCTAGAATGCAACAACTTGGATTTTGTACAGTATCAGATAGGTACCGACCCGATGCACGTTGCCGATATTGTGAAATTTCGCCTACAATACCATATCAACAGCGTGATAGGCTATTATCTCTGATCCCCGCTCCCGCTGTTGGGGGCAAGTGTTAAGAGGAATGAACTAACCATCAACCCGTCAGTACACTTATCGTCAAACCAGCGCTCGTTAATCGCAAAAAAGAGGTTGACGAATCCAGTTAGCGATGACAACGCTGGGTCGGGCGAAGCGAAAGCGAATCACCCCGCTATTAACTAACCTCCTAATAGAGGAACTACAAAATATAACGGGGGGTGGGACTGGGGCTGCACTTCCTCCAGCGTTTACCAGCCCTTACAACATCAAAGCACGAGCATATTGTCGAATCCAGCTCCTCGGTCCCCGTATCAAGCAATAAAGCCGTCGAAAAGCAAGCGAGAAATCCCAAAATGGAAGTTGGCCCGGTAGAGATGGCGGGGTGGTGTCCGACCGCGGAATAACCTGCTCCCGACCCCAGTTCCCCAGATTTGCCTGAGTTATCAATTGGAGGAACGGGATGCCGCACAATGGTCTCTCTCCCGTTTTTCGGAACCAAACTTCAAGGCCAGACATGTTAACTGTCAGGAGGAACACGCGAGTGTGAAACCTGCCGAATTACGACAATGTTAATGCAAGTTTGAAGCGATGAGTGGATTGTAAGGCTGGACTCACAGATTATAAGTAGTTGGCTGTGGGCATCGACCACTGAAGAAATTGTGGATGAAAAAATAGGGGACACGGCATGTCAGCAAAGAACTAATCCGGTACGATATTGGAGCAAAAGATTAAGCTTAAAAATCCCTCGGTGATGTTGATAAGAAACAGGATCTGAAGGCACAAGAGGAATGCCATCAACAAACGACAGGCGTTGCCTCTTTGAAACTTGGAATCACGACAGAGCAGGAAAGACCAATTAGAGTTCCGTCTTCAACGAGGCAACCTGATCGACTTCGCACTTCGACATCAGGTATTCCACACTTAACGATAAGGGCGGACTGGTGGAGATTGGTTGAAAACTCACAGCTGATCAGCTACAGAGGCAGTTATGCGCTCATCGCATGAGCAAAGAGCGTTGTCCTGGTGTCCACACATGCCCTTCAAATAGGGACCGAGTGAGTCCACGTGAAGTGGCGTTCCCTTGTCCGGAATTCTCCATTGATCGCCGCTGAAAATCTAAGGCAATGAACAACGCATTACTCGAGTATTATTGAAAATCTCGCCAGAGCATACTATTAGACTCGAGTACTCCTGGCCCAGGAGAACTAGATCTAGGTCTAGCGAACGCTGTGTGATATCCCCAGATTTCGAACAGGAAGGATGTCAAAAATAGGCTCAACCCTAGCCGATGTCAGGTCCAAAACCTCGGAATATTAAGGGGCCCCCATCTCTTGAATGACTGACAAGGTAGAAAGCTCAATCGTGCGTAACATTCTCCACGGGAGGATTAGGTAGATCGGGCCCCTCCTGCCTCGGTAATTAAACTCAGCCAATCCCGTCGTGAAGCTTCTGTGCGCGGTAGCGATGCCATCACCACATTTCGGAAGCACACCACTGAATACCCGGTGGCCACGTTACCCTACACCGTTACGCTTTGAAAAGTCCTTGTTGCTGGGCAGTTTTTATTCTA